TGGCGAAATTCAGTAACCCGGGCTTCCGTAATGCAGGGGATGCCTGTATACGATATATATTCTGAGGGTTGCCAGATTGTACAATATGGCACAAATTACATTAATTCTTTGAATTACTGTACTGTACTAAATTTTTTGGTCTGCATGTCTTGAAAAAATCATGATTTTAACTTCTTTTGGCTATCATAGATAATCAATATTTTTGCTCTTTTTTTATCAGAGGAAACGGAACTTTCATTTAAATGCACATACACTACAGAAACTTGAATTTCTTACTTTCTGTTTGCTCTTGTTAGTATATTAAAAAAAAATCAGTGATATTAACCTTCCTATTATAAAGCTACCTGATAACTACATCAGTGCAAATAATTTAATTATTAGTTTGATCATTTGTATTAGAAATAGGTAAATATTATAAATTCCAAGTAATTCTTCATAATACTGTACAGTTAGAGTGCACTGCTGTCTGATCTCCAACTATGGAATATTTTAGTATAGTCGATTGTGTATTAACATTAAGTTCTGCATCACACTTACTGATAAAGATGGACACATAAGAATGGTGCAATAAAGAAACATGAAGTATGTAGAAAAGTCATGTACTATATATAAACAGAATTCAGCAGAAACGGTGAATTTAGAAATTCATCTGCTTTATGTATTCAATGACTGAACAGATGAAATGACCCAACAATAAAAAACACTGGTGAAAGAAAAGTGGAACTTCTATACAGGATAGGAGTCTACATGAAGGAGAAACCTTTATGTGAGGAGTGAAATTATATGATGGAGGAAACCCTTATGTAAAGAATGAACCTCTTAAGAGATGTAGGACCAAATCTATGTGAAGGAGGAAGCTCTCTGTGAAGAAAGAACCTTTATAAGAATAAATTTTGGAGGGAGTTGTGTAAGTGAAGGAAAATTCATGTGGAGAATCAATCTTTAAGTTAAGTAAGAATCTCTGTGTGGTGATAAAACTTCTATATCAAGAAGAGCAGGGGCGATTCTTGGGCTGGCCCCTGGGTTGACCCCCCCACTTTTTATTCTCAAAATTGTAATTCCAAAAACATTCCCAAAACCAGGAAGTGAGTCAAGTGACTCAGGCAATGGGCGCGCTGCTGCGCCAGATGCAGGCATGGGTGAGTCCCCACAAAAGACTAATTAGAAAGGTAGAAGCGTGTGGCATCAAAGGTAATATCCTTAAATGGATTAGGGTGTGGTTACAGGACAGGAAACAGCGAGTGAGCATTAACGGCACTAAATCCCATTGGAGCAACGTCACTAGTGGAGTTCCCCAAGGCTCAGTACTTGGACCATTATTATTTATAATATACATAAACGACTTAGATATCGGCATAGACAGCAACATAAGTAAATTTGCTGATGGCGCCAAAATAGGACGTGTTATTAAATTTGAGAGGACTCCATAAAACTACAGGAAGATCTAAACAAATTTTTTGAATGGTCTGAAAATGGCAGATGAAATTCAACGTGGACAAATGTAAGTACTCAGTATAGGAGATGTAAACAGAAACCTGTTGCCAGATGAACAACGATGCCATTGAGAAATCCGACTGCGAGAGATTTAGGAGTAATGATAAGTAGGACCTTAAGCCAAGTAAACAATGTGTATTTGCTCAAAACAAGGCTAATAAAGTACTTGGGTTCATACAAAGGTGTTAGTTACAAGACTAGCGAGGTCATCCTAAAACTATATCTTCTTGTGAGACCTCACTTGGATTCGCAGTTCCATTCTGGTCACCTTATTACAGAATGGATATAGAATCCTTGGAGAGAATTCAGAGGAGAATGACAAGGCTAATCCATTAGGAACCTTGAGTACAGAGACAGGTTAAAGCATCTTAATTTGCACTCCTCGAGCGTGAGTGAGAGGCGATATGATAGAGGTGTATAAATAGAAGTCAGGGCTGAACAAAGGGGACATTACAAAGGTACTCAAACTATCCAACCAGGAGCGAACTCCTAACAATGGTTTTAAATTAGACAAATTTAGATTTAGGTGCGAAATAGGTAAACACTGGTTTGGTAACAGACTAGTGGATGAATGGAACAAGTTACCAAATATCATCATTAACTCGAATACGCTTGATAGTTTCAAACATAGGTTGGATGCTCATATGAGTAATAGGGGTTGGGTGTAAATGGGACTGCCCAGTATGAATAGCTAGGCCCGCTGCAGTTTCCTCCATTCTTATGTTCTTAGGCGAGGTGAGATCGGTGAGGTGAGGCCCGGAGGGCAGGAATTGGGAGGGTGCAGATATGCGGGGTGGGGTCACATCACGGTATATATAAACAAACTGCCTTGTCGGTGATAAACATTACCACTCTGTATTTCCACTGAGGAGGGTGACAGACTGACATTAATTGTCGAATTTGTCACGAACTAGAAGAAATATTTCGTCTGCCACATTGCCACTGTGGGTTTTTCTACTTGCTAAGTGAGGTCTGTTTAGAGAGAACATGTGAGTAATTTTATAACTATCGGAGTAATATTACAATGGTCAATCTCAATCATTCAGCCAGGTAGTTGAGAAGAACATTACAATGGTTTCAAAGCATTCTCATGACATATTAGAAGTCATAAGAATATATAATTAATATGTCATGAGAATGCTTTAGGCCTACATTTTGTAATGATATAACTGATGGACTGTACTGATTTACCTTATACTGTTCAGCTCAGCTCAACTACAGCCACTTGATTGACTTGAACTGAATGATTGACTGATTGTAATGTTACTCTAATCCTATAGTTAAAAATGATCTATATTAATGAAATAAGGTAAGAATTGCATTAAAATAAGAAACCGAGTGTCAGTTGCATCTCACCAAGTCACCAGTGATAGGGTAGCCTACACATTATTCTGCATTGTTTATCTGTGATCAGGGATCACCGATCAGTAAGTACTGTATTTGCAAAATGACTGAAGTTATCATAATTTATAATTCATTGTAATAATGACGCAAATAATATTTAACTAGAGAAGCACGCTAACACGCTTCTATAATATTATGCTACGACTGATAGGTCGCAGCCTAGCATGTTACGGACTTATGGTACCATTTTCAATTATCTAGAAAAATTTATCATTAATTTGTAGGTTTAGTCTTTTTACAGATAATGGTTGGATTACCACAAGCAAATATGGATAAATTTTTTATTAAAAATAAATGCTGTGCAACAGAAAACAAGGAATCTGAGGGCCCTCCTGCAAAGAAGTCAAAGGGGGATTCTGATGCTATAACTACTGCAAGTGTACATTCATCGCAGAAACATAAAAATAAGGAGGAAGACTCCAATGAATCATGATTAGTGGAATAAGAGCATTGCCATTATACTGCCATATGCTGATTATTTTAGGCTGGCGTCATGAGAGACGTCACTTCACATTTGTCAATCAAATTAGTGTAATAATGCCAAAAACTGCATCTTGCAATTTGTACACAGGTTTGGTTTTGCCCCCCCACCATTTACCTTGGCCCCAAAGTGGCCCCCTCACTTTCCGAAGGCTAGAAACGCCACTGAAGAAGAGGCTTCTATGTGATGCTGGTTAGTACTTGGATGGGTGACTACCTGGCCCCTAAGAACACCAGATGCTGCTGGCATAAGAACTCTACTGGAAAGATGCCTCTCATGGCTTTGTCATCTATCCTTGGTCAAACTAACTGAATATAAATTATTATTGCCAAAGGCTTACTTTAACAATAATCAAGTGTGCTGTAGAGTAAACATGATTAAATTTAAAAGTTTACTAGAAAAGTGGTGGTGGAATACAATGACAAGTAGCTATATGAGATCAGTATGAAAAGAAGTTGTGAAATGAAATATCTAAAGGAGATAAAAATAAAGAGATGGAAAAAATTAATCAGTCAACAAATTTACTATTTTCTGACAGGAAGAGGTAGCAGTAAAAGGGTATCCAGTGGCAAAAAAAAATGATAACAGACAAATGTAAATATAAATTCAAAGTCAGAAAGCTATTATGAGAGATGAGAAAAATAACAAAAAGGAATTAACAAAAAGAAAAAAAAAAAAAAAAATTGAAAATTTCAGATATCTTAGGAAGTCCAAAAAAAAAGGAAACATACAGAAAAGGACAGAATTTAAGGAAATTAAATCCACATTCTAAAAAAGATTGAGAAAATACAAATAAGACGAGTTACAAAAAGCATACAAAAATATGAAAATACCAGTAAAGATGAAATGTGCAATAATCAAAAGATCTTGAAAGTACAGAATTTAGCTTCAAGAGCCACCAGAGGTGAATAGCAGTGATTTGCAATAATCATGTGTAATATAGCAAGTATACTGTATTGCTGATTTTGAAATATCAGTAGAGGCAATTGAAATATTTTGCAACATTATGCCATGAAAAATACACCAATTGAGCACTACAAACTATTGCAATGCAACTAAGGTTTCCTTTTGTCAGAAAATCTGACACGCCTGTTTATGAACATATTAGCATCTTGATCATGCAGTGAATACAGTACTTAGAACATTGTTAGCCCAGGCTATAGTGATTATTATTGTTGTAATAAGCTACCGAGTGTACAAGAACTATGTACAATCCAGGGTAGCAGATCTTATGTGATATAGGGTTGAGTCTGAGTCCCATTACCTGACATGCAACTTACCTTGAGTAGGAGAGTTACTCTTGGTATTTCTGCTACTGCTGTCAGTACTCGAGGTTACAGCTGCCACGCAGCTTTTTCTGCCTAAGAATCTCGGCACGAGTCATGCGTGGTTGTACTAGAGTGACAGAGCTGCGGGAAACCCCTCTGTCCAACTGGCCACTTGTAGTTTCCAGAGTTTGGGGTCTAGCTGGTCGTGGGCCCAGGTGACACATGCTCTTGGACATGGTGCGGGCAGGCTGACTCATGCGCACGGAGGAAGGGGTAGTCTCATGCAGGGGTGCAAGAGGGGGGTTGCGGCGGGCGGGCCAGCTCATCCAACCGGCCAAGAGACAACGCCCTACCTGGCGACCGGTGGCGTGGACTGCTACGGCTGGTGCCGGATGTCGTGAGAGATGGCATTGCTGGTATCAGGTCTGCTCTGCAGATGCTGGGATTGCAGCAGTCATCGATCTTGTCATAAGGTCCTCACCTGTTTGCATTTACAAAGTTTAAGAAATGCAAAAACTATGAGACAAAAAAGAAAATAAGCTTCATAAATTAATTAATTTAATAAACTACTCCCATTTCAAGGATCAATTTCCAAAAAACTTTTTGACATTAAATACAATAAGCAGTGAGTATCTGAGTTCTTAACTGATTTCTTTAGCAACTGTTCACACAAAGTATTATTATAATAATACAGTACTGTATACACAATTTATGCTTTTCCCCACAATCAAGCTGGTCTAAGTTACATCTTTAACAAACTAACTGCAGACATGTTGAACACCTGTATGTGCCAAACACCTAACACCACTGTACAAGACACTTATGGGAGAGTACTGTTATCAACAGCATGTCCTCTAAAAGACAAAATACTGTAGTGTGAACTGTATAGAATATAATTACAGATAAAGGCAAAAGTTAAATGGAAATATGAAAACTAAGAAAGGATAAGTGTGTAATGGTGCAGAAATATATGTTATGAAGCCTTTAAAACAGTTTTACATGATTGACAATAACCAGAAGCAGATGAATATTTATGTACACTACCAAGATCTTGTGAGAAAGATTTTGTGTGCAAGATACTCTTCTGAATGTAGGAATTGGCTAACCGATATACACCCTACTGTATATCAAACACCATTAGAAATTTCCTAAATTTCCAAAGCCTCTCTCTAAAGAAGTTAGCTGTCGATAGCAATGATCAAAAAAAGTAAAACAAAAATGCCATTTCACTTCCTCCTTGGGATTGAGAGTAGTTTATTTTGTATTTGAAAATAAGGGAAAGATGCATGTATTATATAATATCAACTTGCACAGATAATTTTTTTTTATTTTGTATATATATATATATATATATATATATATATATATATATATATATATATATATATATATATATATATATATATATATATATATATATATATATATATATATATATATATATATATATATATATATATATATATATATATATATATATATATATATATATATATAAAAATAAAGAAAACACGGGAACTTCGTGTTTTCTCTTTCCTTGTGGTTATCAGCATATACCCAGATCACGCTGCACCTACATATATATATATATATATATATATATATATATATATATATATATATATATATATATATATATATATATATATATATATATATATATATATATATATATATATATATATATATATATATATATATATATATATATATATATATATATATATATATATATATATATGTGTGTGTGTATGTGTGTGTTTCTTTATTACATCTGCAAGTAAAGGCCAGACAAACAGGTGAACTTTAGACAAGATCAAATATGCAAGACAAAAAATAATTTTCATTACCTGAAAGGTAATATTGTTTCTATAATTTGTTGGGTATCAGAGAAATGTTGCTTTAAAAAGTAACACACAAGATATGGTTTAACAGAAGGCCTATACGGTACTAAACTTTGAAGAATAAAACCAATTACAGAATTATCATTACTACACAGGTCAAGTGACTTGTGCATATGATGGAAGAAGATGTGGTCGCACAAAAGGGGAAGCTAAATCATAAACCTCTCCAGTCCTTCTTGGTGACCATGTATTTCACCAGTTAATAATAGTATGCGAGTAAGAAATGCCTATGAGGTTATACTGGGAGTTTCTTCAGAATCTTATCCATCTTATACTGTATGAACATAAAAATAAATGTAATATCAATATCAAGTCAGTGTAGTTTGAGCTACATAAACGGACGCTCACAATAAAAGTTCACCTGTTTTGTAGTAAACAATTACTGTACTATAAAATAATAAAAATAGGGCACTACCAATAAACTGCTAAAATGGCACCTGGAAAAAAAACCCACACACACTCCTGTACGTCCACACACATGCTCCAACATATAATAACCAATCAAAAACTAAAACAACGTGCAGGAACTACAAAGCATGTACCGTATACTACTAAAAAGCAAATAAGAATAAGTATAAAAGACTGGGTCAACTCCAGGTTTGAAGCAAACTTTTTAATACAATCTCCCCCTTTATCCCCAAGGAACCAATCTTTTTAATACAATCTCCCCCTTTATCCCCAAGGAACCAATCATCACATAAATCTGCAGTACTAATTGGACAAATTCTTTTTAATTTATGGTTTTCACAGCATACAGCCACCTTTTTAGAGTTTGCAACCCAGTTAAAAAGATTCTTCTAAGAGGTTGTTATAAGTAGTTCATTCTAGTTATCTAATTTATTCATGCCAAAGATATCTAATGCGTATTCATTTCTCCAGATGCCCTTCTAAGAAAGTTAGTTCAAATTATGTACTTAACTACAGCTTTTTTTTAAGCTTAATGAGTTCAGCCAATACCATAAAATACTACTGATTGAGAGTTAAAGGGTTATAAATATGAAAAAAGCAATTAAAACCGTTCTGAGCTGTTAAAAAGTAAAACATCAACTAGTAGAGCATTCCTTCATGAAGCATCCTTGGGTTAGCCAGCTTGCAAACTCACCACCAATAGTGCACCCAGCCCCAGTAAATACAGAAGCAGTTCTACGAGAATAGCACGTGGAAGATGTGGGTGTTGAAGCCGGTGAGGAAGGGGCCGGGTTGCCGCTACCGCCGCTACTTTGATTTGCGGGACCCAGTGCAGCGAAGTTATCCCCAAACTCCCATACACAGAAACGTGATTGGGATGAGTTTGTCGGGGTTTTGTCTGAGGATGAGGAGGATGTGGAAGAAGGGGGAGCAGAAGCATCTTTGGAAGAAAGGGGAAGAGAAGATGACTTAGTAGGCTGAGGAGTGGAGGATCTGACCCAAATAAGGGCAGAAGGAGGGGTCTTGCGTTCCAGTGACGAGTCACGAGACTTGGTCAGCCGGGTACCTTGGGTAGAAGGGGGATGGTTTTGGTGGGAGGAGCTGCTCTCATCCCAGTGAAACACTTCATACATCGAGCTTGACATACGCAGGTCTGTAACAACAATGTAACACTGTTGAACAGACATGCAGGGTGCAGCTTAGCGTATGCAGTAGCAACTTGTTCTTTGTATACTGATAAACAAAGCAATCTGCTCATGTGACTGGAGATGTGCAAAAATTCAGTTTGCGAAATGAGCAAGTGCTTATATTGCCATTCCAAACCCAAATGTGCTCTGTGAATGTATTTATTGTGCAAATAACCTTAAGTGCATCTTCTAATATAGTTACTGTATGCAAAATGACTGTATTTATGAATATTCAAAATCATATACACTTTACAATTAAAAAAAAAATGCAAGAGAAATAGAGAAATGCAAATTTCTGTTTAAGGCATAAAAATAGGTCATATAAAACCGGAGAAAAGGCACTTATCTATGGAGTGCACCAACTCACGTTAGTGTGATCAGCATGATTAGAATAAAATGAACCCACCACCATCTAGTACAGATTGCATTAATTTATACTTTTGGTGTTTTTATAAGCCTTTCATACCCAAAGCTGAGATAACTGAATTGACCCTAAGCCCTCAAGTTATGTAAAAAGGTGGATAGTACCAAAATTATCATGATCCAAGAGGATGCTGGGCAAGAGGCAGAGTGAGGCATCCACAATCCTAGCATTTATGTTCAAATTGCAGAAAGAGTCTTGTGATGCGTTACCTCCTGGTATCCACAATTCTTATAACCTATACTGTATATTGAATTTTCAGAGTACCACATTGCCTACTACAGTACTATGTAGTAACAGCTTGTCAGAACCATTCTGGCCTGTCTAAGCACACACATTCTTCCCCAGAGGGATGCCTTCCCACTCACTGGTGAAACACATCATACAATACAATTAAGAAACCAAATAAATAATAAAATAATCAAGCACAGTCATGTTCCTAAAATAAATGTTTAAATATCTAGATGCTATGTAAATTTCAGTATCATGAAACTAAAGTACCGACAAAACTTACTTTTTATACTAATGCTACTCAAGACAGTTTAGACTGATATGATATTTATGCGACAAGCCTAAAAAAAAAATAAGCAAAGTAAAAGAATAAGTAAATTAATATCCCTGATTAACAGCTTTAAATTAACACTGCAATAGTAACTTGCAAACACAGCTAGGTACAGGATATTAACCTTATACGTACAAGACACCAGAAAAATCCATTACATCAATTAATTTTAGTGACATTCTTAACAAGTGACTAAATATATGAGATGGGTTAATAAGAATAATGACTTTATCCCTTCCACTACAGGAGGAGCTAGAGTATGAAACACTGGTATGTGTGCCCACGTCTCATACACTACAGGAGGAGCTAGAGTATGAAACACTGGTATGTGTGCCCACGTCTCATACACTACAGGAGGAGCTAGAGTATGAAACACTGGTATGTGTGCCCACGTCTCATACACTACAGGAGGAGCTAGAGTATGAAACACTGGTATGTGTGCGTCTCATACACTACAGGAGTGCTAGAGTATGAAACATCATACACTACAGGAGGAGCTAGAGAAACACTGGTATGTGTGCCCACGTCTCACACTACAGGAGAGCTAGAGTATGAAACATTGGTATGTGTGCCCACGTCTCATACACTACAGGAGGAGCTAGAGTATGAAACACTGGTATGTGTGCCCACGTCTCATACACTACAGGAGGAGCTAGGGTATGAAACACTGGTATGTGTGCCCACGTCTCATACACTGAGTGAGCTAGAGTATGAAACACTGGTATGTGTGCCCACGTCTCATACACTACAGGAGGAGCTAGACGAAACACTGGTATGTGTGCCCACGTCTCATACACTACAGGAGGAGCTAGAGTATGAAACACTGGTATGTGTGCCCACGTCTCATACACTAGAGTATGAAACACTGGTATGTGTGCCCACGTCTCATACACTACAGGAGGAGCTAGAGTATGAAACACTGGTATGTGTGCCCACGTCTCATACACTACAGGAGGAGCTAGAGTATGAAACACTGGTATGTGTGCCCACGTCTCATACACTACAGGAGGAGCTAGAGTATGAAACACTGGTATGTGTGCCCACGTCTCATATACTGTAATAGAATTTTTTATCATCTGGAAAACACACCACTTAATTTCTAGAAACAATATTAAGAAATAATGTGATATATGGAATGAGATTATTTTCTTATGCATCATTAGCTCTCATCACACATATTCTGGGCCTTGGTGTTGCCAGGTACTATACTAAGGTGTCCCTGGGAAAACTAAGTTTAGAAAACATGTCCCTGAGCTACCAAGTTTATACCACATTGTTCAAACCATTTATTTCTAAAATCAAGAACTATACAGAAGATATATCATCTCTATGCATATGCTCAACACATCCTCCCAACCTTTGGTCCAGCAAATTAACCAGGAAAATCAGTTTCACGATAGGACACAAAGAAGAAAATAATACCGGGGGAAGTTGGAGTACCATTATGTTGCATATTCTTCATGCAGTGGCAGAAAAAATCGGTCATATCTTAAAATTTGTCTTAATTGCTATGGTCTATGATTTGGCCAGATTCCAGGTTAGGGAACTGGTCACTTATGTTTAACATAAAACTTGGAAGAAATGTTAGCTTCTTTTGACAATGATAATGAGTTTAGACTTTTACAGAAGCAATTGAATAATAAACTAATTATCTTATCCTTAATGCTTCTTTCACATGGTGGAGTGACCATGAGGAGGAGCCTCTTGACATCACTCTATGTCCATATGGCAGTATCTTATTTGAATGTAGTTACTGTACTACTGTATCTTAAAACTTATATTCCAATAATATATTAGCATTAAATACAATTGCAACAAATCTGCAACAATATGCAAGATCAGAAGTATCACCCAAAAGTGATACACAACGCAAACATTTTGAGGGAATAGGACTCTTTCCAAGGCATACATTTTGTGAACAGTAAAAAGAGAGATTGTCACTTAGGCCTGGCAGCCTGTGGATACAGCTCCTTGTAGATTAAAAAAAAATCATTTCACGAGGAGGCAGTGTGACCAGCGCTTCACTTTACCACCTGCACTTCTCTGACTGTAAAATTTGGTAAAAATCCACAGCTGGGAGAACTGGGGGTGTCTTTGGTGCAAACCAATGACCTCAAGTGAGTGCTATAATCACTCAGCTGTTGCACCTCACCAATATTATTTAATGGGACACAAACTGTGATCACCATATTGTCTGGCTAGTTTTCTAATTTGACGCAGAAGCACAACTGAAGTAGATTTCCTAATCTATAAATTAACTAGCTGTAATATCGATATCTTGCTTAAACAAACAATAATGTAGCTAATTTTCATTTTAATGTGATGTGCTGTCCCAATTTGTTTTCTTTGTGACATTCTGTACAGTACGACTTTTGACTGAATTCACTGAACTAAAGAAACGAGTGAAAAATAATATATACAGTACTAAGCACTATTTATGTTTCAAGCTGAATTGGTTGTTTTCAGTTGTACTCTTCTTCTTAGGTTCTGTTAGTTTTAATATCTGATGACAAAGACACGGGCAAAATTAGACCAAACTCAAAATTAAATGCAATGGATGTGTGAGGAGCAACCATGATACATTTTTATCTCTTACAGTACACAATACAATACAGACTTTTTAAGATAAGGACAATAAAATAACAAGTCTCTCTACCTTCTGGTTTCCTGTCTAGACCCTGTGCTGAAGTTGCTCGTTTACGGCTCAGATCCATTTCACCACACTCTGATGCACGTCGAGTGATGGATGTATCAACGAGATGAACATTGGTGGTTGAGGTTGCTCTACAGAATAAAATTTATGTAAGATAAATGTTTGAACTGAATGGGAAATATGGAAAGAACTCATTAATAACTAAAATGCTAAGTTATTAATATTAGCACCTAAATTACACTGAAATCTAGAAAGAAATATACGACAGTAAAGTATAAACTAGAGTGAAATTTCTTTTAGACCCACAGTACAAAGTTCCAAATCTGGCAACCATCTGACTCTGGGGTTGCTGGTTTCTTGGCAACAGTGTATATATAAAGCTGTGAAACTGATGTGCTATAGCATTTTGAGAAGGATTTAATGCACTGTAGGTGTTATTATAGCTCTTGGCTAAATGATCACCATCATTTATGATATATTCATACTTAAAAAAAATAGTAAATCATGATGTTCAACATAATTTCCGATGTTTCAATTTTTTTAATGTTTAATTGTTTTATAAAAAAAATAGCTGTGAGATAAATCTGTGTTGAATATCATTTCTGAACACCCCCCCCCCCACCAAGCAGGCCTCAATAAGCAGGAATGTTGTCATCCATCTCTTTTTATTTTTTTTACATGGCTACTTAAAATATTAAATAAAGTTTTAGGTAATTGAAGTGATGTACAATGCCACTTATATGAGAAAACTGTCTTAACATTTAACATCTTTTAGCCACCACTCCTCTCTCAGCTGCTCCACCTTGACTCTGGATGGTACATTACAGCTCACCTTAATTTCATCTGATTTCTTAACTAGATTCCTGTCACCTCTAAATATAGATTTTTTTCCAACCCTCAACCACATTAAAAAAAATAACTGTCCTTTTCCATATTGTACATTAAAAACAAACAAATGCACTAAATATGACTGAGCACCCCTGAGCCTTCTTGATAACTGACCACAAGGTACAGTAGCAGCATGACTCGTAAGCAGTGGTGATCAATCATCATTGTTTTAATGTAGATTTTTTTTTTTTTTACAATCCTGGTTTCTATGTTTCCATATTTGGGAGTTTGTACTGTATTTTATTCCAAATTGACCAAACTGTTGCCAAATACTTTTTACCAAACAAATTATAGTACATAAACTGGAATCTATCCGAGTGATTCCTAGGCACGTAGTAGTAGTAGTAGATACTAAATTGTATTTTACTCATATGGCAGACATGTGAATACAGTATACAGGTGTATTTTACTGTTCCTGTATTCAGAATTTTTACTCTCGCAAGCCTTTTCCTGCTAAGATGTAGGGTAGCTGGCAATAAGACCAAACACAAGCTCTCTATATGCTGTAACCACAATTATTCATACTATCAAACTAATCCTGACATAGAAACGGATGAGAGGAAACTGAGAAGTAACAATAACCTGCGTGAACTCCAGTATGAGGCATTGGTAGAGCTGTCTTTGGGGTCCAGCATCCGAGGAGTAGAACTGCCAAATGCGAACACAATGTTGCTTCTCTCATTACGTCGCTTTGATTCCATACGGTGATCACGCTCCTGCTTGTAAGTAGATTTCCAAGGTCATATAAATATCTCTGGAGTGTTATTCTACATCAGTTCATAGTAGCAAGAACTTATACCTTCAGTAAACAAATTTTAACTGTATATTGTAATAATGAAGATACTAACAGCAAGTGGTGGTGGTGATAGCCAGATAAAGACCATAATATTTCTCCCCTTATTACAAATGTTAATAAAATAACAAGTTCTGTTCATTTTATAACTACCGTAATAATACTATCAAACTTGCACACGACCAATGCTGTACAATACTACAACTCATGAGATGGGACTGCAAACCCTTAAGACGTTTACAATGGTACTGTAGTTTATTTATATGCAGAAGATGTACTGTTAAAATGAACAGGCTATAATCACATTCAAAAGATAAACTTTGTCAAACTCACAGTATTCTTCCTTATCACAGCCTCCCTTCGATCTTGTTCTGCCTGCTGAATTATTCGCTTACGTTCCTCTACCTGTGAGCGCCGGTCGGCATCCCGTAACCTCATCTCTTCCAGGCGTCGCCTTCTCTCATTTTCCTGATGTTCTCGGAAACGTTGTGCTAATGCCGCCTGAAAGTTTTTACAAGGTATATTTTAGGATTCTGTTTTAACTAACCAAGTTGTTAATTATTATAATGATCAATATGTACACATGATGACTCCATTCAGATCATGCATGTGTTTTTCCCTGTTGTCTTTACTGAATTTGTTGTACTGTAACACCAAGCATGTACTGTACTATACTGTAAGTGTAAAAGAAAGGAAAACAAAAGTTACTGGGTTTTATATTACTGATAAATTTAATACAGTAGCAATCTCTTTCAAAGCTTAAAAAATTATTGATACTGGAAACTAGAGAGCTAGAGAAAAGATATAAAGCTGTTCCTTCCTTTCATAAATGACTTATGATGAGTTGGGTGAAATACTCTATGGATTTAAATACACATTGACTGTAAAATGTCCTGTAATAAATTGTCTGTAGTACTATACAGTATCTAATTAACCCTATTGCCAAAATCAAGTACAGTAGACCCTTGTCATTTGTGGGTTTGCGATTCACGATTTCAATGATTCGCGGTAAGCAGATGGTGGCTAGCTTGCAAATCACTTCCCACAACACAACGAGTCACCCCACGCAGCATCTCGTGTTGTACTCTCAAAACTTTAGTGTTTGTGTGAAATGGCCCCTAAAAGACTGCCTAGTGTCAGTGCTAGTGATGCTAGTGGAGTGAAATGTAAAAGGCAGAAGTCAGTGAAGACCCTGACAAAGAAAGTTGAATCATTAAATAAGTTAAAAGAGGGGATGAGTGCTGCAGCGGCTGGTCAGTTGTTTGGTATAGGTATACAGTAGGAGTGCACTTAGGTAGCATAAGTTGCTCTTCGTGGTTTTGCCTATTCACGCCAAACCTTGGACCCTAACCCCCATGAATAACAAGGGTTTACTGTACTGTATTGTAAGCAGAACTGTAATTTAAATCAACGACACTTTAAATTTATTGTGATATTTATTAAAACAAAATACCATTGTCTAGGATCAGATGAAATAATTTAAAATTAATGTCATCAAAGTCAGACTTAATACATCACAAACTAAGTCTGACTTCCTTCATATCAATACTAAAATTAAGATGGGTTAGTTTCATAAACCTTTGCTCTTCAAATAGTTCTTATCCTACCAAATGACAAAACACTGCTCATTTACAGGTACGGTAATATATAAAAATAAGGTTTCAATGTCCATCTACTGTAATGGCTAAAATGTTACAAAAACCATTTGGAACTAGACATAAATTTGAGGATATATAGTTTTATAACTTACCAATACACAATAAGACTTTCAAGCAATATAAAATCATGAAATAAAATTAAAAAAATCTAAAGATCCAAGTCAGGTTGTGCACAGCTACAAATTTCATACAAGTTAAATTTGGATAAAGTGAAATTGCATTTTAAACCAATCTGAATGAGGAAGAATATTGAGCAATAAATCATCTTTCACTGCCGTATACAACAGCAAATCAAAACAATGGCATCAGTGTCTACAAGTATGAATCACGCACGCACGCACGCACGCGCACACACACACACACACACACAAAGATAATCTACTTCATATAAATTGTATTGACCTCAACAAGTGTTAATTCTCACAAAATGGTACACACCCCACTGCCATAACTACATTTAAAATCTGGTTTAGGACAGTACAGTATACTATTCTACATTAAAATGACATGTTCATATTCATGTTCAGCTGATGCATTATTCTGATAAGTACTGTTAATGATTATCTCAACATGACCAAGAAACTATCAAATTTAAGATGTCTGTGCAACTTGTTAAGTTCTAGACAAATTTTTGTTTATCCAAATTTCCTAAGTAAAATCCCTAGCTATATTATGGGTAGGAAGCACAGAAGCACCTGGCATACCTTGGATTGGTGGCCCTTAGGTATGGTAGTAAGCAAAAATAATTACATTAGAGTATTTACAACTATGATACATCCTCCTACTGCTCAATAAATGCAACTCAGTTTTACAGTTCTCATAGGCATTGGAACTGGCAGTACTCGCCTTCCCTAAAAGAGCTAAGCAATATAAGTACATACTGTACAGTAGTGTCCTCCCTCAATGAAAACCTGTTCCTACACCTATGATATCTGACTATTCAACTCCAACCTGCAAACTATATTTTGTGTTGATGTCCTTCAATTGAAAATTGAAACTTTACAAAAATATTTAACTGAATAACAATGATACAAAATTACAGTATAAGAGACTTGACAAAAAGGTAAAAATTGATTGAATACATTACATCTACACATGAGGATGTGCCCTGACAATGTGACCTACATTGTCTAGTACAGGTACACCAGGGAATTTGAGTTAAACCCAGGTCATTCAGCTTAATGGGCCTGACAACACATATCACAGACAGATTAAAATATGAATGAAGGACATGAGTTTTATTTTGCCATTATTTTGAAAAACACTTCATTACTGATACATAACCTTAGAGGTCATGACTGACATAAACACTACCCAAAACAATATACAGTACACAACCACAAGTGATTCTTGTTCTAGGTTACTGACCTATAAGAAACTTCAACACTGGAATACCATTTGGATGCCTCAAGTGACCACTAAATTGAACTTTGTCAGTGGAAAGGCACTTTTTGAAGATCAATACTGTATACTATACAGTACCATAAGGCCCCACTTGATGAGCAACCAATTTTTGAGATTTAATTTAACAACCTTACAGTAAGTGTTTCAGGACACTGAAATTCACTTAATGAACTTCTATTCAATTTCCAGTATCACATAAATATTGTTAAGTTTAGTTTTGGAGTGACAAAATTCTTTTGTCAAGAGAGTACAGTACAGTATCTCAGTTTATAACATGGATTTTTGGGTCAAATATCTTTGGGCTGGAATGCATCTCAGCTTTTAACATGAGGTCCTATGGAAAACAAGTGTTTCTTTGGTAGAATAAACCTAACAATTACTTTTCCAAGAACAAATATGGCTTGTTAAGGGAGACTTTAATGTACTGTACACCATTTCTCTGAAGAATCATCATATGACTTGACAGAAAGTAACACCTAAGAATGTAACAGAGTGCATTTCAAAAATCTTCAATGTACCACTGAAGTCTGAAACAGTGAGCGTGTGTTTATTTTTTATGTTAATTTGGTAAACAAAAAGAAAAATACTATTGAGGGATAATATCAAGTAAATTAAACATGGAAGTAAGGGAAAGGGAAGAGAAGCAAGATATAAAGACAAGCTGACTGATGTAGAATGAATTTTGACACGATAAAAGCTGGAAGTTATATAATATGCCAGAAAGGAAAAAAATTATTTTATGTTATAATTTGGATAAGTTAAATGCTACATACCTTACGGTATGCTGCACTTATTATTATTATTATTATTATTATTATTATTATAATAATAATAATAATAAAAGTCATACAGTTAACTTCAGATGTTACACCAGTCTTCCTTAACTTTAGGCAAACACCAAGGAAGACTGTTGCCAGGCATCAACTACGACTTAACTCTCCTGTGTGTACAGTACAGTACATGTTACTGGTGACACTTGTTATATCTAACAGAGAGATTGGTTTAAGACCACTACAGTTAACAGAAAACTAAAACTGCTTCACAAAACCGAATTATTTTGTGGATATCTCCCTTAAAGTCAATGAAGTGATGACAAGTCCATTTTCTCATGCACTCACACCATCCATGAATACTGTACGTAATTAATAATTTTTTTGGTGAGGGATTACTGTACACACACAGCGAGGCCTCACCCTTATAAAATGAGGTTATGCACTAAATGACATTATTTGCTGCATAACTTAAACTCACAAGGTAAAAAAAAAGGAACAAGTTCCTTGTCCCCAAAATTTCTTGCATACAGTACCTCCATTTTTTATGAAGATCAAAAAGGTTTTAAAGCTCATAAATGATTATGTTTCACTTCTACAGTACAGTGATTCCTCGGTTAACGAGATTTCGGTTAAAGATTTACCTTCCATAAGATTCTTAACTTCGGTTAACGAGCAATCCCTCGATTAACGAGTTTTTTACGAGCCGACCTCAACATGTTTTCGCTTGCATTTGGCGGTCCACCAGCTGTAGTATTAGTCCGCCAATACAGTAATCGGTTTTAGGGCTCAAATTCCCTACTATTTTAGTAAATATCAAGAAGTTTATACTATTCAATAATTTCAAAAGTTTAATATTAACTTTTTTAGTAATTTTAACAATTATTGAACATACGTGAAGGTAAAGAAACTAGTTTCTGGCGCGCCATCCAGCCCGTTAACACACCAAACAGGCGTGGAGGTAACATCTTGCTTGAGACTCTCTTCAACTAAACGCTTTTTTTCTGTGTATGCAAGCAAATTATTGGTCATTTTGAAATTTATTTTACATATTGACAATATATAATGCAGTGCAGTGTTGGTTTAAAGAAAATAATCTTGAATTACACCAAGAGAACTAAAATTTTATGGGTGAAATGGTGCCATGGGGTGACTTCTCTTCCACCCCAATGCCTTCTCTTCTCCCTTCTCCTCCACCCCCATTCTAATTCCCATCATCATCATCATCCAGGAGCCTTCTACATACACACCTCAAAGTAAGTGTACTTTTCTACCTTTTTTGTTGAATTTAGGCAATTTTCGGTGAGCTGGAACCAATTACCCAAAAACCCATTGAAACAATGGTTTCGGTTTACGAGTTTTTCGGTTAACGAGCAACCTGCAGGAACGGATTGTGCTCGTTAACCGAGGGACCACTGTATAACCAACACATGCAGCCTAAATCCTTCAAAAACCCTCCAACTGAAGACACCTTGATGTATAATGAACAAGAAATATCATGAGAAACAGCCAATGTGGAAAAGCTGGTAGACTGTATGCATAAAAAGTGAGTGTTTTCTCACAGATACAACATCTGGATTTTGCAATTCAGCACACACACACACACACACACACACACTGTACTGTACAGTATAAGCATTTGTGTACAAAATTACTTTACATTTCGTCTGTAATCTTTAGTATTACAGTAACTTGTAAAGTGTTTACATGTAGGGAAAAATGTTATGTACACCTGTACCTTGTAGTACTGTACAATGAATGCTAATAAATCCTAAACCGAGATTCAACATCCTACTACAGTACATTATGTGACGTGCACATCTTAAACAATTTCCTCATTGAAGCTTTTAATAAATATTACACTTTATGAATTATCATCAATAAACAATGCAATTTGTGTGATGAATCCTTTGTTAGAACAACCCATTATTAAGTACGGTACTGTACAATACTGCAATTCTTGGAATGCATAATACGGTATACAAGTGATCTGTGGTACAGTAACTGCTGATAACTAACCTGTTCCTTGAGCTCCTCTAGCTTCTGTTGCTTCTCAATCTGCTGCCTCTCCCTCAACTGCCGCACCCTGTCTTCTCTGTCTTTGTAAGACAGGCCAGAGGATCTATCATCTGAAAATATAATTCTTCATTATTAACTTTTTACTTTGTATATTTATATCAGACACACCAACAATAAACAGAACTGGAGCACAGCATTAAGTCCTAGGTAAGGGGTCCTTATGAGACATCCACAATACTGTACCAGACATCATATCTCAATTATAGTCTCAAAATGGATTAACAACAGAAAAAAATAGCCTTCATTTCATTCAGGGACTTCGTTTCTGAATTTGATCCTTTTTTATCGTGCGCGTGGAATACCGAGTGACCGAAAAAAATGAACACTGACTACACTTAACTTGAAAGATGTGTCAAAACTTAACGATCATCATATAATTTACAGATACAGTATAACATACATATAATCAATGTACAGTACATCATTCATAATCAAGAAACAACTACAGTACAGTATACTGTACAGGTATTTCAAATATTATTCACATACAACTACATTACCTGAAGGCAGAAGGAGAGCCATGCAAGACACATCTGACATGCATACAATTTATTCTACAGTACAGTGTTATCAAAAAAATATGAACAGAAAATATAACATTGAATCACAAACTACTCATGCATTCCCACATTCTAATAAGACTCATATATATGAGGCTAATGCAATTTATTGTACAGGGGGAGTCCCATAAAATAGCCATACAACAATGAAAAAAGCTGTACCATTCATCTGTATGGCACAGTTCACCAAAGTACCTAACAGTGCACATTGAGAATATGTGTCTTCCTTGAATAATACTGCACTGGGTATTCACGAGTGTCTAGATACCAGGTAGTAATTATGAACAAGTCACTCTCTTCTGAGTGCAGGAAATGGCATTTGTGATGCAGGAAGATATTATAAGTAGACACATAATTTCTACACTACAAAAATGTACTGTATTGTGATGTGTACGACATTAACCAATATTAAAAGTACGATAATGTAAATATCATGTTTCATGGAGGCTTTAATACTGTACTTTATACACAAACCAGAAATGTTTTGGTGTTATTCATCTTAGAAAAGGAAAACAATAAAGCTCTAATGGAAAAATTCAGTATACTGTACAGTACTACCAGTTCCAACCATCAGTAACTTCTTGAAAAACATAAAGTATACTAATAACTGCAAAAAATAAGTCTGTCTAATATCTGCTACCATCAGGAAACTGTTACTGACATCTGATACTCTACCATATTAACTGTGTGAGAAAGAGCCAACATTAATAAAGAAAAGTTGTGCATAATGTACAATTTGAGGTTTACAGAAAGCTGATGCTGTGGGTTAAATGTTAACTATGAGTATAAAGGAAGGATTGATCCTGAAACTGTTTTTTATGACAGTCTGGATTAGGTAACTCGTGTACTGTAGTGCCCAACAAGTCAGTGGGTTCACCCAATGCTAGTTGTACTATTCACATCAAATGAACAGTACACTACAGTACCTCCCTCATTATAATCATAGTCCTCAAAATTAAACATCAAAAGAACCAGTCATTGCTGAGAGTCACAAGTTAATAAACTGTTGTCACATTAATAATGCACTCACAAAGGCCAGAAATACAAGGATAAATTCCTAATTACTCCTTTTCATGGGTGCATAACCTGGGATTATGTGAGCTTTGGAGCTGCTCAATTAACACACACTGGATGGAACGTAACTAGATGTGTGGGTAAAACTTCAATCACTCTCATTGTATGACCAAATCCAGTTTAACTGACTAGTGGATCCATGGAAGGGAGCACATAATAAATCCTCCATTGGTAAGACCAGGGTTTACCCTTTAAGTCTACCTCCAAGATAGATATAATAGAATTCTATATTTGATCAGAATATTATCCCTCCCTCTAACAAAACACCCAATGCCTGGAGTAAAAAGTAACAACATGCTAAGTACTCATCAGAGTCCCCTGGGATTGCCCTTGATCACAGCCAGGCATATTGGCCCCATGAACTAATCTGCCCTTTAAAACTCAAAATAGGTCATTAGCAAACACAAACACCCTTATAGAAATAATAAAACAAACGCAATCAATTACCTTTACATACTGCTAAGACCTGAATGGACCAGCCTTAAAGCTCCTTTAGTGTCAATGTGGCTTCAGTTGACAGATGGAATGAACACTACTAATGTAGCATACTGACTTATTAGCCTTCAACTTTCTGTGGTGACTTATTTCTAATACAATACCTGTACTGCACATATACAGGTACTATATTTTGAGGGTAATGGTTACAATGGGGAGGTACAGATACTGTACTACTATTTCCTGCTTTTAAACAAAATCAGCCAAGATTGACTGAATCCTGGGTATTAATCTACATGAGCTGTCCCATCCAGGAATTAGGTCACAAAATTACTATTACAGTTAAAAAAATGACACATACTTACAGAAAACAGGAGTAAGTAAAGTACTGTACTATGACATGCATATTATGTTTAAACTACCATTAATGACACCAAAGAATGAGAGAATTTTTTGACTACAAACACTTCACTTTAATTTGATCAAGTGAAAATTGTGTCCTTTGTTTCACCCATCATCAAACAGCCAACAATACTGCTTCAAACTCTCCCAAAGCCTGAAAAATTTTAATCTTATCTATGTGTGTGACAAGTTTGGCGTTATGTACCACCTTCATACATTTACACAGAGAGATTGACTGCCTGGCAAAAAAGTAAAGCAGTTCCATAGGGAGAAAAAACATTCTAATGTTAGTTTTGGTTTTGTTTAAAAGTATCACAATACCTTCTCCAAAAATTAGGTCATTAGGGCCTGCAAATGAAGCTCTTTGTTGTTTACTTGGCGGTGTGTTATCATCTTGTGCAAACCAATAAGCATCTGAGGGAGATACAAGTGAAGCATGAGGCCACCAACCACTCAGTGATGATGGCCAGTGTTCCCAGCAGATATAATTATAACCCTCACCATATCAGAGTTAATTTTGTTTTGCAGCATCTAATTATTAACTTACTGCCCCTGTGCATCTGGTGCCAATATTAACTCAGGATTACTTGCTGCTTAATAGTTTAGTGAAAAAGCTTGCAAAATTTAGAACAGATGAGCAGAAGTATATTTGACTATCAAATTAGAATGTGAGGTGGTAAGAGTGTGGCATAAAATGTGGAAAATAGAATTAATCACGTGGGAAAAAACAAAATATAACGTACAGCATAGTCATTAAGTCTGCTGAAAATATTAAAAGATAAAACCATAAAAAAGGAGAGAGAATGCAAAAACAAAATATTAGTCACCATGTTTGTCTGAAAACAGCCTGTTAGAAAAAAAAAATACTAAAAAGGAAATGTTCATAAACTTTTTTTTTTAAGCAGACAACCCAACCCATACTTAACCACTAAAGGTCGATTTTGCTTCAACTAGGATGGGTTTGGTTGTTTTGAGTTCTGCAGTCCTGTTTGTGGCACAGTACCACTATAAATACAACAACAACAAGAAGCAAAATCCTGAATAACAGTAACAAATTTCTATTCGGGTTAACACTATATCCACTGTGACCTGGCTTTGTAGGGCAGTAATGGAAATACTGTACTCAGGAATTAATAATACTAATGCCACATTTTAGTTACTATCATGTATTGTACACTGTACAGTATAGTCTCGATTTATGCGGATTTGGTTTACGCATTTGGTTATTTACGCGGCACCTTGCCAGAATGAAATTTTTTAATTACGCGGTTAATTTCATCATTTATGCGGCGAAAGGTCCAGATGCGCTGTGCCAATTACGATTTACGTGGTCCATTCTCAACCATACGCGGGAAGAGGCGCGGGGAGGGTGCGCAGTATGTCGCTGTTGCGTTATCGCTGACGTCATATGACGTATCGGACTGTGATTGGGTCACGCATCCTTACCTCCCTCCGCCGCTAGCTGTGATTGGTCTAATGTAATATGACGTGCCCAGGCATGGGAAGAAAGAAGCCACTGACCTAGCCCGGCCAGTTTCATTGTTCTCAGCCTCCGCGTATACTGTTCTCTCTTGTGCCCGCTAATCTGTTCAACAATGGCTTCCGCTGGACCACCACCACCTCAGAAAAACCTTGATTTACCTGGACCAAGCCACCTCAAGCCCAAGAAGATATGACGCGCCCTAAGTTACGAAGTAAAGTACAAAAGCATCCAGGACTTAGAAAAGGGAACCCGACAAGTTGATCTCGCACGCCAGCATGGATTTAACGAATCTACGATTCGTACAATCAAGAAGGATGCCGCCAAGATAAAAGAACACACGAGCATCACAAAGTCTGCAGGTGCTTCAATGGTGAAGTATTGTCAGAATAAGGTGCTGTTCAAGACTGAGAATTTAGTGGTGAGCTACGTGATTCATCAGGCAAGACGTAACATGGCGGTCGACACCCGGGCGTGCAGGATTACGCCCGTGAACTGTACGAATCAGTGGCGCGCAAGATGGGAATTGCAGAGCCCAAACCCTTCACTGCTTCCACTGGGTGGCTGCAAGGGTTTAAGAAATGTAACAATATCACCAGCATTAACATTGTTGGTGAAGGAGCCAGTGCTGACCGTGCTGCCGCCATGGATTTTCCTCCATTCTTACGTGACATTATGGAGGAAGGACAGTACACCGACGACCAGGTGTTCAACATGGATGAATCCGGTCTATTTTGGAAAAAATTACCTTCCAAGACGTTCGTTGTCAAGTCTGCCAGCAAGTGTCGGGGCCGGAAGTTGCAGAAGGAGCGCATCACCGTCCTGTTTACCATCAATGCCTCCGGCACCTGTAAGCTCAAGTTGTTGGTGATCCACACAGCCTGCAAGCCACACGCCTACAAGAACATGGACATGAGCAAGTTAAATGTCCACTGGCTAACCTCAAGGAAGGTGTAGATGTTCACTGGTCTGTCCCTCTCCTGGTTTGACGACTTTCGTTCCTGATGTGAAGAAATTCTGCACGCAAAATAATGTGCCATTCAACATTTTGTTGCTGCTTTTTTTTTTTTTTTTTTTTACGGGAATTAGCCCACCCGGGCACAGGTCAAACGACCTACAACGGTGCCTGGGGGGTGAAAAAAAAAAGAACAAAGAAATTGTAAATAGAAAATTTTTTTGAAAACGCACCAGGACACTCGCCCCTACTGTTGGATCGTCACCCCAGTGTAAAAGTGGTCTTCCTTCCTCCCAACACTACGTTGTTAATCCAGCCCATGGACCAGGAGTTGATATGCAACATTAAGGCAGCATACTCTGCAAAGAAGTCTAAGCTCATGAACGACTACACCAACACCAAGGATGAGTTGCGGAACCTTCTGAGCGGCACAGATAGCAAGAGCGAGGACGAGGATCCAGAAGAAGAGTTGGCGGAGCATGAAGTGCGAGTTAAACAGTTTTGGAAAATGTTTAACGTAAAGAAAGCTGTTGATTTCTTGGTGGAGGCATGGGGGCAGCTGTCTGTGGCAACGATTCGTCACACGTGGAGGTATGTGTTGCAAGGTATCCCAGGTGGGAGGCAGAGGCAACCTGTGGCTGGTGAGGCTCAGTCTGTTGCAGTGACAGTGGACCCTGCAAGAGAAGCTGCACAGTGTTGCAGCTGCAGGCTTCTCCGAGACCACCAACGACGACATCATTGAGGTAATCAGGGATCCTGAGGGGACTGCCGACGAGATGTTGGAAGACGATGACGTCAGTGAGGAGGCAGGTGGTGCGGCAGCACGAGAACAGAAGTTAACACATGGCGATGTAAAGGATGCCATCGAGTTTGCCGAGAAACTCAAGCTCATCCTTTCCAAAGACCCTCTCAATCACCGATATGAAGTTTTCAATAACCATCTAGACCAGAGTATGGAGCCATATATCAAGATGTATCACGACCGCATCAACGCTAGCCATCAGCGTAACATCAACTTCTTCGCCCGCAACCCACCACAGCCAGCCCAAGTCAGTGATAGTGACAGTGATGGTGATTTTGAGGGGTTTGTCAGGGAGGCCCTGATATCTGTGGTGGATAGTGAGTGATTCACCTGAGGACCACTAATCTGCCCTCTGCCTCAGAACCAGCCCCCACCCACTTATGCCGACCCATCTCTTCTACTAACGTAAGTGTTAAACCGTGATTTTTCTTTTACCTGGTACAGTATATTGATATTTCTCTTCTATATTATGTGTGTGTGCATACCATCATAAAATTAAGATACTATTTTTACTACAACATACCGGTACGTATTGTGTCGGAAAAAGTGGAGTTTGGAGGTCGGCCCAGTCTCTATTTTAATTAATCCCATATGTTCTGTTATTTCGTTTACGCATTTCTCGGTTTACGCGGACCTCCATGGGTTCAATTGACCGCGTAAATGCAGACTATACTGTATATGGATTTGTGTGTGTGTGTGTGTAAGACATATGTGCTGTACATTACATTTATATCTGTGCGTGCATGTTATATACCCAACACACAAACTAACATACAATATTCTAAAGAGAACTATGCAGTCGCCACCAACAATCTATAAAGTACAGGTAATATACTAAAACAATAACACCAACACTAACTCTACAATAAAAACAATCTTTGGTAAATGTTCAGTTTAGTCCTGCAAGTTTCTTATCTTAGATATTTGGGCCTGGTTTGTACACAGGAGCTTAGAAACATGTTGTTTTTGGAAATCCAACAAGAGGAACATGGAAATATTACGAATGTCGCCTCGTAATTTTCTTACTATATTTTCAAACAATTGGTTTCAAGACCTAAACAATGTTTAATTTTGTCTCGATTCACAAAATTAATAAGTAGCTGAATTAAACTGACCATTTACATATATGTATATCACTAATAAAGTAATAATGGTTAAAATCAATAATTCGTAAAGGAATTCTGCAGCTGAGACAACACGATAGCGCCACGAGAGCCTAGCGTGTCGTGGTGGTGGTTGTGGACAATGTTAGAGCAGCGCAGCAGTAGTTGTTGCGGCATACGGTCGCACGTTTTAGTTAACACATGGTTGAGACAGCTACACCCCTCTCTGTCTATAACTAGTAGGCTACCTGTAGTGTCCACACTACATGACCACCGGCTGCGGCCCGGGGGTAGGGGCGGCAGGCCCTGGAAACCTGTGTTATTTGCTGCTGCTGTTGTTGTTCCTGATGAGGCTTCAGGGCCGCTCATACTCGCCCCATCCTCGCCTATGTCGATGTCGCTCGTGACCACCGTGAACGATACCTGCCCTACACTCACAGCATATATAGAAATTGGCTGATTTAAAGGCTTAAAAATGAATATGCATTATACTACACCTCTACTATGCCCATACCCACTCCACATCCAGCCACCATACATAACACTTATTTACATCAAAAAATTTCATCTCATCTCAGCCATGACATCATGTCCTCACCTATCGTCACAAGCATATTTCGACTATAATTTACAAAGTTCATGTAACTGCACTCACAGTATGCATGCACAAATTCATTTGTATAGAAACACAGCCACACAAGGGCAGGCCACCCAATTCTTACACACCACACGTACACTACCATTATCCTCCACATAACATAACATGTCCACTTATCACTAACTACCAAACTAAATCCACCTGCCACCATATCCACCGCCACCACCATTCCCTCAAACTGCCACAGCAATATTATCTCAAAATTGAGAAACTGACTCATCACAGAAATACCCCAAATCAATCACAAATTCAAATAATTTTCAAGGTTCAACCTAGTACAGCAACGCCTCATACTTAAAGAAAACAGAAGAAATAAGTAATATACGAAGTATTAAACATGTTTAAAAGAACTAACAATAAATTATGAAGACGCAGGGAAATGTGTCGGAAGTGTAAATGCAGAGAAGATTATGATGGGTAGAGGTAGACCGCCTAAGAAATGGATCAAATTGGTAACAGTATCTGGGGTTCAGGAGAATAACATGCTAGAGATAGGACCATATGGCATGCACAATGGAGATAAAATGTGTAACAATACCCACACCTGTGCACCAGCTAATTTAACCTGAAATGGTCAGCACGCTACATTGAAATGCTAAAATTACTTCCCTTCACACATGTGACCCGTAAGGAAACATTAACCACAGTATTAATTATTTAGTGGTCGTTTAGTGCCGGAGCTGTAGTAGCAATAAAAGGAGGGTCCATTACAGCGTTACTGGACAGTCTATGAACATATACAAAGTATATTTTTTTATAATGGGATTCTTTTGTGAACTCCTTACAAGTCTACCGATTCCAACGAGCCTTCGTCCAGGAGGTTGTGGCGACTCAGTTCAGACTACATCAGGCTGCATGTGACTAGGATGTTTACACGTTCCACTGCCTTTACAAACATTAAAAAAAAAAAAATCTTCGGAGTAGAAGTACATTGATAAAAACAAAATAATAAAATCACTAACCCACTGTATCATTGTGGAAACTGTAGTCGCAAAATAAAACAATTCACTCATACAACGCACAGGAACAAGACAGACCTCTCCGGTGCTGCAGAGAGAAAAGAATACGGAGCCAAAATCAAATGCAGACGGTAAAGGCCTTACTCTTTCAGTCCAGGTGACACATAAACAGATTTTCTCTAAAGTATTACAGCAGTTATCAAGAGCGGAGTGAAATCTGGGAGCGAACCGAGTAAATATCTGCAGCGGCCGGAACGAAACCCTACTGCTTGTCTGAAGGGTCAAGTAGGCACGTACTAACTTTAAGTGTACGACGTACACAAGTGATTGTCAAGTGAGAATGTGGTGGGCACGTAGGAATGTAGTGAGCATTGCAACACCAAAATAAATAAAACCACAAGACAACGAACAACTCATCCCGGCCTTGAGTGACGCACACCAGCTGGCCCCTGCACACACTCACCAAACTGACCCAAACAACGCTAACTCCACGAGTACCACTCCAGCCACCACCTTATCCATCTTCTAAATTACTGCAGCTCTAAAGTTATGAAACACGACACGCACAGGACGCTAGGGTGAGTAAGGATACACATGACATATAATGGCTAGATTAAGAACAGTAAGGACAGAGGATACTGGGGTGGGTACATTTGGGACTTGGATGAGAAGTAGGATACCTGGAGAATGAGGGCGAAGACATGCAGGGCTGGGATGTGGAAGGCATATACAGAAGGATAACAGCCACTAGGGAGAGAAAGAAAAAGAAAAGGGGCGAAAGACTAACTCAGTAAACCCTGGGACCGAGCGAGATCTGGCACGCTGCTGGGGATACTGGCGGCCCTCCCTCAGGGTCATAACACAGCCTCTCTCTCTCTCTCTCTTGACCTATTATACACCAACACACGACCGTAAAATGTCATGGAATTTATTTTGTCGGCTGTTACATAGTTCATAAATTTTTCATTAACCAGCTGATGTTTACCCAGCAAACAATCATAATGCAAATTCTACTTAGGTAAGCGTCAGTACCGACTAAAAATGGCTATGGGTAGCGAGATGATAAATGTGTAATCATGGCTGCGTCCCATCACATTACCTCCAAGTCTGAGATAAGTATACTGCAACTTTATCACGGATTAATGTTCTCGCAAAGTCTTACATCTATCGTGCTCAGCCTTACGACTCCCTGATACCATTTTCAACACTCCTGATTTCCACTTAAGTGTACAAAAAAGACAACTAGTTTCTTTACGGTCCTAGATATGAGCTGTTTTCCATCAGAGACCCACACACAACAAGGACCGCCCTACTGTCTTCCTTCTACATCACGAACACTCGGCATAAAGAACCAAAACCCATGAGGCAAAACAATTCCACCAAACACCCGCTAGATCTGTTCAGTGTGAAATGAGCGGCCCTTTCAGAGGAACCCGACATGAGAACCAAACTCCACTAGGGTATTGACTCCCAAATCATTAAGTTAGATCCGTCCAGCAAGGCAACAACAAACAAAAACTTGGTGGTATGAGTGAGGATGTGGGACAAGTTTCCATGGCAGCCCCTGACACTGCCTCACTAGTGTCAGTATCCGACCCAGATCGATTGAGTTCCCCCCTCCCTCCCCCACTCTCTCTGTCTCCCTCATTCTTTATCTTACTCTTTTTTTCTCCTTCTTTCTGTCCCACTCACTTTCTCGGCCAATCTCTCTTCTTCCGTTTATCTTCCACTCTCTCCAGCCTTCATTCAACATTTATTATTCATTTCTCAAACACCAAATGCAGAAGAGTTTTGTCATCAATCACATGTATACTGTACTTGCACATATACATAATAAAAATCTACATCCCCCTCTCTCAATTCTCTCCTCATTCTTATGTTCCCATCCTGTCTATTCCTTCCTCATCCCATTTTATAACCCAGATGAACTCTTTTAACATCTTAAAATCTACATAAAACAATTCTTTACCGTCACCAGGTTTCAGGGCCCTCAGTTTAAAGCCATCCACTCTCAATAATTATTCCTCTATTGATGTAAAACTCGCTGGGAGATTTCATTCACACACACCACTCACATCAAAAGCCAGGCAGTGACGGAGTAGTATCGACGCGCATGATTTCGAGACTCCGTGGGTTAGACATGTACGATTGAGAAAGATCTGGCGTGTAAAGTGGAAAGATTTGTGCTGAATAAACCTCACAGCTTGACTCTCATATACCTATCTTTATTTCCCTATAAATATGCGAAGTATTAACCGAACGTAATTTAACACCAGTCAGTCTACTTATGTAACCCAAAGCTACTAATATTCCCGACGGAAGAGGAGAGTCATAAGCATACCTCACAGTTAGGAAGGAGCAATCAGTGGACGTATTATGCCTGTACGCGTGATCTTGTTTCCATGGATTGACCTGGTAAACACTATGAACGGAACCTTCCTATAATCTAATGCTTAAACTCCGTCATTTTGTTCGGCCTATTCTAAAAGACTGGCCGATAGTCGCTGGAAACTGAAGGTAATAATAGAAAATAATAATAATTCTAGAGATCCATTATCTTCCTTAAAGTGTGGACAGTATATAGGCTTGACACTCAAAACTGGTGGACGGATGATATATAACTGCATTATATATTATACATTATATATTATCATTAAAAGTCAGCTGGCGACAATATTATGTGGTGCGATGTGGACGACAGGGTCACTTGGCGCTTGACTGATCATTAAGGTGAGCGGGGAGGGCCAGATGGTGGAGGTGGGCGGGGAGAGGGCCGGATGGTGGAGATGGGCAGGGAGAGGGCCGGATGGTGGATCATATATTGGAAGTGGGCCGGGGGGGGCGTGTTGGAGGGGAGGGAGGGTGGACATGTTAAAAGTGGGAGGGAGGGTGGACATGTTAAAAGTGGGCAGGAGGGTGGACATGTTGGGAGTGGGTGAAGGGAAGGGGGAAGCACAACACACTACCTTGAGTACCGGGGAGCAGCCGAGTAATAGATATAAACAAGGCTAAAACATCATCCCCTTAATCACACAAAAGGTCATTACCGACATCATCATACACATTATAGTAAATAAACAAAAAAGTGTAGCGTAACAACAGTCAACAAAAGAGGCATGCTCTCCAAACTGTGCGATTCGGAGATAACTAAGACAAGAGGGAGTGTTTAAGAGGAGCAAGACAAGTACGTCCAGGAGAAGCCGGGATCTTACGCATGAGGGCAAGACAAGACTCGGAAATAATGAGAGAATGGACGAGCAACATAAAGCAAGAGACCCCAGGTTCACTTAGCAACTGTAAAGAAGAAATTTATGAATACAAAAGATGATGGCATGCAGGGGGAGGGGGCATCCTTTCCTCACGGGGCGAGGGAGGCGGCGAGGCATGGATGCTTCACCATCATTACTAACAGCTAATTGCAAACTAAATGCAGGATATATGCATGACATTTGTGGCCATAAACTTCACGTGTGCAATATTGATCTGGCCTCTAGATGAGAGCAGGGCGGGTGGGCGACCACTGTTGACCCTCACTAAGGAGTAAACTTATAGGCTACTGTACAGAGACCATCCCTCCACTGAGTCGCTCGTCCACACCACCTGCCAGTTCTCTACACATCCATTACTCCTGTTTTAACTACTACCATCTGTTACTGTACACACTATTATAAAAGATCTAACGTTGTGTACAAGTATTGTGGAATTCTGCAAACAAATACATAAGATAAGACCCTGGGTTCAGATTCTTCGCCAGTCTCCCGTTAATATTTTATCCATATGGCAGTGAGGGCACAGGTAGTTACGACAATCTCACAGTAATAACGACGCCATATTTGTAACCATCATTGTTACTGCTTAATGGAGTTACAGTCTAATATTACTAATTAGGGGGAAGTAACGCAAGAACCACAAGAGAATCTGATCTCAGGGTAAATGGCGGGCCAGTATAGAGAGGTGTAGACGGTGGAGGGTGGCTTCTTTAACCGGGGGGCGTAGGGGGGGGGCGTTACCTACCCTTCTGGGCTGGGCTCCTTTTGCTGGCGGCTGAGTGGGATTGCTGTTCTTGTTGCTGCTGACTTGAGTGGCCGTTGGCGGAGGGTGCGCTGCCCCCCGACCCACCACTACTCTCTCGACCATCACCACCCCCACCTGCAACAAAGGGAAACACTGTTAGTATCATTCTTATTAACATCATCAGTGTATAATACTACACCCATACCCTCCATGGATGATCCTGAGCCGGGAACAACACCTTATCAAGATCCGCTACACACGAGATACAACGATTACAAAACACGAGAGCTGACGACGACAAAACCCAGGACAACAGAGAACGACTCAGGAGGTACCCCATAACGTGCATGCGGCAATGTTAGCAGAGTAGCAGGTAATTAAACTGATGCGGCCTCCGTGTCACGCTTTCTGCACGGCTGAGATCAATAAGTCACGGCGACCCCCTCCCTGTCTGCCTCCTCCTCCTCTCCCTCCCAGCCAGCCATACCATCACCTTTCACGCCCCACCATTCCTTATATCCCTACTGTAAACGGTGGTGTTGTTGCCTGGAGTCGTGTTACATCAGCAGCACCTCCAGACAGTGGTAATAGCACCACAATTCATCCCCGTCACTCGCCCCACACCTTTCTCCTTCACTGTGCCTCTCAATAACACTGGCGAGTTTGTATACACACAATTATGATGCAAAAGATCAAAGCACATGTCAACACAGCCACGCCAGGATTAACTCTTATTTCCGACTTGAAGTCTTCAATTTCCGGTGTTGTTGTGAGGCGGTCGTTAATCTGGGACAAGCACCCCTCCATGCCCCATCACTCCTGTCTTACCTCCCAACCTCCCTTTTTTCCCCTGAAAGGTTTACGCCTCCCCTGCACTAAACGTAATGGCTTACTGAAAGTTACTACTCTTAAATAACAAAACGTTTAAAACTCCCAGAGAATACTCCCGATAAACTAAATTTTTGTTGTCACAAGTGCCCTTGGAATTTTGGGGGGTAAATAACCTTTCTAGTTAAGGAGTTCGGACTTGACAGGTTCGATGGAGCAGTTCAGCACAAGAAGTTGGTTATGCAGACGGCGGGTGAGACGGTAAGAGACGGGGAGGAGGAGGTGTAGCAGCCTAAGCCTCTATTTGCTGCCACCCAACATCCTTTTAACACCCACAGCTCCTACGGTGGTGAAACGCCAGCCGCCTCCTCCACCACCACTACACACATCTCGCGCCGTTGACTTTCAGGATAACACTGGTACGTAGTTTAGGTAGGGCTCACTGCTGCGGCGGGGATGCTGTGAGGCTGACGTCACGAAAGGGTGGGAGGCGGCGGCTCATGCTTGCAGGAGGCGGTGGTGGCAAGGGAACACACGGCATATTCTGGGGAGCACGTCCGAGCTGGTGACAAGGAAGTTGGACATCTCCAGTCAAGAGACACAAGAGTGACGTGTGCCATTAGTGACTAAAATGGTGAGGAAATACAAGAAAATGATGAAGGTGAAAATAGGACGAGATGTCGGAAGCTGAGCGAGAAGCCTCCACCTCCTTGACCTTTAACCTTCTACACCATCCGGCAGGATCTGTGCACGCCCGGGTCCTAGGCCCTGGTTGGTGGGTTGTGTGACGCTGGTGTCCTTCCACTCTCCCGCCACTGTAATCTTCCTCTCCCTCTCTTTCATCGATACCAAAATCTTCCTCACTCGCTTACACCATACTCTAGCCCAGTAACCCCCACATACATTATTATATATATATATATATATATATATATATATATATATATATATATATATATATACCGTTACTCAAATTCATGTTGAATGCTTCGGTATGTTTAATAAGACTAGATTCTATGATGTTCCTACTATCAATTGAATTACATGGTAATATTGAGGAGGCATTATCCCAGTCAATGCAATGCTTGTACAAGCTGGACAATTTTGTAATTAAAAAGATTTGTGACCAGGTGAGAAGGCCGGGTCACCTGACCATCTGACCTGACCACCAACCGTTGTGTGCTATTTAAAGATTAGTAGGGTCATTACCTAATACCTGACCATTGTGGACCTGGTCTCACCCTCCTCTGTATATATACACCTTGATTTGTATTTCTCTCTCTAGTCTGTACTCACCCCTGAAGATGTGAATTACACGAAAGCGCTTGGGAACTTCGTGTTTTCTTCTTTCCTTGTGGTTATATATATATATATATATATATATATATATATATATATATATATATATATATATATATATGAGAAATTCATTGATTTATGGATTTTAGCCAAGCACTGGAGCTAATGAGGCAATATAAGAGAGGAGGGTGGTGGTGGCATAGTTAGGAGCGAGGGGATCATTTCCATATACTGTACTGTACTGTACTTCGCCTGTTGCGACGTCTGTTCGTATGTGAATACACACTCTTCCATGTAACCCAAGTCTCTAACTACACACACCGGTACTGTACAAACAGTCGTACAGGCGCGACAGCCTGCTGCACGCGCACACACACACGCGCGCGCGCACACACACACACACACACAGTCGAGTGGTTCTTGAATTGCACGATACAGATCCAGCCAGTTGAGGCCTGGATTCATCAGCCAAGTCACAGGTGGCAAACATCCCATGACAACATCATAGTATTGATGTTGTTGGATGCCAAAGGTAATCTGCTGACCGACCACCTGAGACAACTGTGACGTCATCCAGGAACATTGCTGCAGATGACAGGTGTGTTCACGCAGCTCCACGATCACTGCTCCACAAATCCCGTTTCGGACGACTGCGGTTTCCGGTAACAGCACAACCCTCCCTACAGTCCAGATCTGTCCCCAAGCAATTATGTTATTATATTTAGAAACATCAAGTCCCACCTTCAAGGGCGCCGCTTTGAGGATGACAAGACGCTGAAGAAGGCTGATGAGGCGTCGTCTGAGAAGCTGTTGGAAGACTTATACACAGGGTGTTTATAAAGTCCCAATCTATGTCAGTAAAATAAAGGTTTTTATTGATTTTTATTGCAGAACTCCATGAAGATGAACGTGTGCTGGTGGTAACACTGTATATTCAAGGAAAGAAATGCAAAGAAATTAGAGAGAAATTTTAAATAAAATAAGCCGGGTCCTATAGACGAGACAATACGCGAATTGTTGAATTAATTCAAAAGAACGAGATCTGTTAATGATAAACCAAGATCTGGACGTTCACGTGTCTCACAAGATGCTGTAAATGTTATCGTTTTATAATTGAATTTAACAGTTACCCGTTATTTGACTGAGATAGATAGGGACCTTTTAACACAAGACTGGTACAGTATAGTGAGTTTGACGGATAAGTGAAGTAACGGTGGAGACGATACAAAAACATAGTTGTGGGTCAACATTCTCATCACATAACCTTCCCTGAGCTTTGTGACCGCTTCACACACACACACACGTAATAGGGGTCACATTCTCATTACATCACCGGGGGAGAGAGACAGGACAAGTGTTTACTGTACTCCCGCGCTGCCATACTGACTACGCCCGTACAGTACATGAGGGCCGTGGATGTTAAGTGTTGCATCTGGACATATTACTTCCCGGGGTAATCACCTCCACCTTCTCCACTACATAAATTTAACTTAATGTCGCTCTAACCTTTTCAAGTTGAAGTTAACCCCTTCAGCAAGGCATTATGTCGGGGCGGGCGAGGCCACCAATACTAAATCACAGTGCGCGGTCCAGAGGCCCACTCCAGCACCCCACCTTGAGTCAGATGTTCTCACGCTTACACCAGATAAATCTTGCTTTATACCCACAGTTGAGTATATGGGCTTTCAGTGTGAGTCTGTCTGTCTGTCTTTCAATATCTCCTTCACTAACACTACTGTCTCTTCATACTGGAACTTACAGTCATTATCTACTGCATAATATTCTGTATTCTACTGAACCAATTTAGCCATTACAACAAATAATAAACAAATATAAAGTAAACTTACAATACACATAATTTCAACCTATAGAACACACCTGGAATTATCTCTCTCTCAAGGGCAAAATATCTTCTAATACTCTCTAGCTTAATGAGTAAACGACACATAAAGACGGTGAGAGAAAGGTGGTGGTCTTAAAGGCGCGGTGGTTTGTTAATGGCGTCTCGTACTGAGTGTTTTACAGTCAAGATTAAAACTTTTACTTTCTAGGATTTAACTTTAGGTCTCCCCGGCACGCCCCCACACCCACACTCCACGCTCACTTTACGAAAAACAACGCCCACTTAACCCACAGCTACGCCAACTGCATTAAACCACGCCCACTTCACGAAAAACCATGCCTACTTCACCAACAAAACCACGCCCACTTATGAGAAACCACGCCCACTAAACCCACAGCTACGCCAACTACATTAAATCACGCCCACATAACCCACGGTAAAACCACACCCACACACATACTCAGTCTCTCCCGGAAACCCGCATCTAGCCACGCCCTCCTAACCCGAGCCACGCCCTCCTAACCCGAGCCACGCCCACCACATACCTCTCAAAAAACTCATGAAATTACCATTACCTCCAAAATTTACATAACCACGCAAGCGCGCGGGCGCACACACACACCACGACCTTCACATCACTATGCCCATGGTAACACGCACCTCACATTATAGCCACGCCCCCTACATTCACATCCACACCTATTACTCACAACCACGCCCACTACACACTCAGCCACACACTTTACATTCACGCTTATTACCCACAACCACGCTTACTACACACTCAGCCACGCACTTACATTCACATCCACGCCTATTACTTACAACCACGCCCACGAATCATCCACGGCCACGCACACTACAAACTTGCGTCCACTAATCTACTCACAGCCACGCCCACTACTACTCTCACAGCCACGTCCACTACTCCCACAGTCACGCCCACTTCACCCACTTAGGGGACACATCATCAGGTATCACTAAAACTCCCGCCTCATCAGTCGCCATCACAACAACTCTCCGGTTCCCTTCCTTTCACAGGCGTCTGTTCCTGAAGAAGTAACAGCAGGAAGCAGTAATAACAACAGCAGGAGTAACAGCAGCTCCTCCCCTCACCCTCTCTTCTCCCCTCAATCTAACCTCTCTTACACCTTACAGCAGCGAC